ATAGATAGATAGATAGATAGATAGATAGATAGATAGATAGATAGATATGGAAAATATATCTAAATAGGAAAAGGAAGGAATGGAGGGAGGAGGAAAAAGGGAGGTACAGATAGGAATAACAGGATGGGGTGAGGCAGTGCACATGGACAAAGTATATTTGACTATCAGTCAAAATGTCCTTATAAGCCCGTCACTGCATAAAATAAATAATTCCAACAAAAACTGAACATTTAAAACAGAAAATAAAAAAAGGAGTCAACTAATTAGAATCTGGTTTGTGAAACAACTTCAAATCATAACTTCTAAAGCACTGTACTTATGGTAAGAAATATGTATATTCTTTATTTCTAAAAGCATCATAAAATGCTCCAGAAAAACTGACAATTACCTAAATTTTTGAACTAGGATATAAAATATATGACTGAGAAAGGGATTATGTAAGTATGAAACATCTGATAAGTATTGTAGCTTGTCAGATTTTATTGTAATCAGAAAGATAAAATAGGTCTAGTTATTCAATTTTGTTTTCTTTAACAAAACTCTACAATAGTTCTATTATTTAATGGAATAAACAAAGAACGATTCAATAAAGGGAAATGTTTAAGCTCACATAATAAACAATTCAGTGTATCAGGATCAAAAGATTTCAAAGACCCATTATTCTTCATAATTGGCAGCTTCATCTTCTCTAATGGCCATGCCTGACTTCAGGCCAAACTTAACAACTTAATTTTTCTTGCAATGATGACTTTACTTTTTCCTTTAGTGTCAGTCAGTGTGGTGTTCTTGAATAAAAATGTGATAAAATGTCCTAGAACATGCTACCCTTTAGTGTTATAATAGTATCTTGTTATTGAGTGGCAGCATTTTATCATAACGTGAAATAGAAATTTCTGCTTCATGTATTTCAGAGTGTGGTGAAATGGTGGTTCTTCTTGCATGAATATTTAATTTCTTGCTTCTAGAAGATTAGCACCAAAATTCATATGCATTTCTGTAGCCTAGCTAATCAAATATGATGATGATGTCTCCATAGCTTTTATCAGCAATTTTTTAGTTTCCTTAGTTTTAGAATGAAAATTATTGTTGTATTCAATTATATGTTGTGAATTTTTATGTTTCTTCTGATATCCTTCACACTGTGAGGAACAACAGATTTTAGACCAGCTGAAATTAACAGATACAGAAGAAAATTAAAACAGGCCAGATTTGTTCTTTCTACAGAAAGATTGTTACAGAGCCTTAGAATATTTCTTAGCCCATTACTCTAACATCTCTTTTTTATATAAATTAATGATTAGCTTTGTTGAATATTTATGCTTAATAAGAAACTAATCACCTCATTTCATATCTGGCTTGGTTTTCCTTTATTTGTAGTCTTCTGTAGAGTCCCTGACTTATTGGCTTTTTTCTACTCCTCATAAAATCTGTTAGAAAATTAATGTAACGTATGTGCCTGCAGTGTTATCTCCACTACCTCTTATTGACATGCCCAGTTTCACTATTTAGTTTCTAAAGTTTTCAGTGAGAAAAACTGGAGTCTTAAATCTCTTAGAAGTAGAGCATGACATGTTTTATTTTTTTAAAATTCTTTATTAATTACACTTTATTCACTTTGTATCCCCCCCCCCGTGGTTCCCTCCCTCCTCCCCTCCCAATCCCTCCCTTCCTCCACCCTCTGCAGGCATGCCCCTCCCCAAGCCCACTGATAGGGAAGGTCTTCTTTTCCTGCCTTCTGATCCTAGTCAATTAGGTCTCATCAGGAGTGGCTGCATTGAAGTAATGCATACTGCACTCTACAGCACTTGGCCCTTAATGCTATCATATTATTATCTTGTTTTAAAATGGTTATAATTTGTGATAACAAAAAAACCCATATTTTAGTGTGTTTGAAAAGAATGCAAGGTTCTTAGTCTTCTGAAAAAATC